GGCGCGGCGGGGGCGCGGCAGGGGCGCGGCGGGGAGCGCGGGGGGGGGGGTGGCGCGGGAAGGGGCGCGGGAGGGGGCGCGGGAGGGGCACGGGAGGGGCGCGAGAGAGTAGCATAAGGGACACGGCGCGGACACGGGAGGGACACGGGAGGGCACGGGGGGGGGGCGCGGGAGGGGCGCGGGGGGGGCGCGGGAGGGGCACGGGGGGGGCACGGGAGGGACACGGGAGGGGCACGGGATGGGCACGGGAGGGACACGGGAGGGACACGGGAGGGACACGGGAGAGACACGGGAGGGGCACGGTAGGAACGCAGCGTTTTTTCGAGCGAGGATGCCGAGCGCACGGCTCGACGGAAGAGATCGTCGGGCGCACGGCTCGACGGAGGGGATCGTCGAGCGAACCGCCGCCTCTCGCAAGCAGATGCTCTTATGTTGGCATCTGGCGCAGCGCTGCATTGCCCAGCATGGGGGCGAAGAAGGATCGATGGGCAGATTGCGATGGTGAGATTCGATGGTGAGAATCTCGATGATGCGAGGGAGGCTGCAGACTGCAGATGCTAAAGTGTCGCGCAGCCCTCGCAAACCGCCGCGGGCGATGTGCATGTGCACCCCCGTGTGCGCCTCGATGATCTGGTTGTTGGTCTCGCCGGCCGCGTTGAACGTCTGCATCTCGTTCGAGAACGCAGCCTTGGCGCCGCCGAGGAAGCGCGAGATCTGCGACGACGCGCGGGAGCAGCGCTTGATGTCGTCCTGGAGCGCCTTCAGCTCGCCGAGACTGATGGTGAGCTTCTGGGTGTTGTCCACCGCCGCTACCGACTGGCGAAGGCCCACCAGCGGCTGCAGGCTCGACGCTGACGAGGCTGCTGGTGCTGGATCCTCTGCAGCAGCTGGAGGTCCAAGTGGGCGTGGGGCACTTGAGAGCCCGAGCCTGCTGGCAACCATGTCGGCAATCTCCCCCTTCTGCTGTTCAGAGATGCCCTTGCCGTGGTTGCCTCCGCTGCTGTGGCGATGGCGCTTGTTGTGGCGGCGTTCTTCTTCGGCAGCCTCGGCAGCAGCTCGGCGCGTGTTCTCCTTCTTCTCTCCCTCCCACTCCACCCACTTGATGTGCTCGTCATCTTGCTTGCTGATGGTGCAACGTTCAATGGGCTGCGCATCGACCAGCGCTTTTACCCTTTCGTTGTCGAGATCCGCGAAGTCTTCCTTGTGCTCGTCGCGAGACCTCGGATGCCTGAAGAGCTTGTAGCGAGCGTCGTCTTCCGAAATCCACGACTGGCACCGATGCCACTTGCGATTCCACGCATCTTTGGTGCAGTTCTCGGGGAACGGACACTCGTGGAACCACCGTTGCGTGCAGTTCTCGTCGCTGGCGGCCGCCCCCTGGCGAGAAGAACTGCCCGAGCGGTCGAGCCGCTGCTGCGGGGGCCACGGGGCGGAGGCCTCGGCCGCCTCCTCGAGCCGAGATGCAATCATGCGGCGAAAACAATGCGAAGCTGAAGGGCGATAGCAACGCGCAGAGCGGTCTGGCCGCTATCTGAAGTGCGATGACAACACGCAAAGCGGTCTGGCCGCTATCTGAATGGCGATGGCAACGCGCAAAGCTGCCTGGCCGCTATATCGGAGGAGGGGGGATTGCGCGAAGAAGGAGGAGGTGCAAACTGGCATTGGTGGAGGGGGGATGGAGGAAGGGGAATAGGCAAAGCGGTCTGGCCGCCACGTGGGGGGGGGGGGGTGCAGGAGAAGGAGGGGGCGCAAACAGGCATTGGTGGAGGGGGGATGGACCAGCAAGCAGGATGTGGAATAGGCAAAGCGGTCTGGCCGCCATGGGCTGCATGGAAGTTGAAGGAAGATGCTGGAGAGAACGCTACGTTGCATCTCCGCGCGGGCCGAGGCGGCCAGGTTGCTCGGCAAAGCAGCGTCGTGCAGGCGCCCAATGCGAACAGGCATCTTTCTCCTCCCCCCTCCTCCTCCTCCTCCTCCTCCTCCTTCTCCTCTTGCTTGTCCTCGTCCTCTTGCTCGTCCTCCTCCCCCTGCTCCTCGCCATCCTCTGCCTCGCCCTCCTCGCCCTCCTCCTTTTCCTCCTCGCCATTAGAAGCGGCCGGTGGCGTTCCTCATTGCAGCGGCCCCCCCTGCCATGGCTACGGCGGAGGCGGCGGCGGCGGCGGCTTCGATGCAGGCGGAGGCGGCGCAGCCTGCATATTAGCCTTCGCCAGCTGGTAGAGGGCCCAGGCCTCTTCGATGTCCCGGGGGCGCGGGTTCGAGGCTTTGAACTTCGCGACGGCCTCGGGGCCCTGCTTCTTGGCGACGTTGAGCATGCGGCAGTAGTCGCGGCGGCGGCCGCCGCTGATGCCGCGTCGCGCCTGACCGCCGTGAACGCCCGCCCCCCACGGCCCCCCGTTCGGAGCACGCCAGCCGAAGGGGCCAGGCGCGCGCGCGGGGCCCCCGGCGCAGGCGGCGCTGCAGGCGCCCTCGGAGGCGGCGGCGCAGGCACCTTCGGAGGCGGCGCTGCAGGCTGCTTCGGCGCAGGCAACTTCGGAGGCGGCGTTGCAGGCTGCGTCGGCGCCAGCGCCTTCGCCGACTTCGGAGGCGGCGCTGGAGGCCCTACCTTTGCCCACGGCACAGCCTTCATGCGCGTCGGCAGCAGCTGCTGCTGCTGTTGCGCTGCGTCGGCAGGTGGTGCTGCTGATGCGCTGCTGCCTGGCGGTGCTGCGTCTGCTGCCGTCGGAAAGAGGAGCTGCTCTATGGGCCCTTTCGCTGTCGGCTCGCTCTTCGTCGCCGTCGCCTTCTGCGCTGCTGCTGCTGCGCTGGCGTCGCCCGCTGCTGCTGCGCTGGCGTGCTTTGACGTGGGCATGAGCTTCGGCCTCCTGCGCGCCGGACTCTTAGGCACGCGAGGGGCAGGGGGGGGCCCGGGCCGCGGTGCCGATCGAGCACGCGCGCTTTGGCCAAGCTGATGCGAGCCGCGGCCTCCTCCGTGTTCGCAGGATAGTGCCATGGCCGCGGGGTGCTGCTCTTTGGCTGCGCTGGTGCTGCCTGCGGTGGTGCTGCCGCTGCTGTTGCTGCTGCTGCTCCGCTGCCGTGCGCTGGCGCTGCAGCTGAAGCAGCTTCCTGGAGCGCGCGCAAGACAAGGGGGCACGGGGGGGCGCGGGGGGGGCGCGGGGGGGGGGGGCGGGAGGGGCGCGGGAAGGACACAGGGACACGGTATGGACACGGGAGGGGCGCGGGAGGGACACGGGAGGGATACGGGAGGGACACTGGAAGGGGCACGGGAGGGACACGGGGGGGGGGCAGGAGGGGCACGGGAGGGGCACGGGAGGAGGGACGCGGGAGGGGCACGGGAGGGACACGGGAGGGACACGGGAGGAAGCATCGACGTTGTGCTGGGGCAGAGAGGCAAAGAGAAAGCTATTGGAGCTCCCCCCACCGAGCAGGAAAGACAGCGGGCCCACGTTCTCCAGGTTGAGGAACGCGCCCATGGCGCCGCGCAGGGCGCGGCGTGGGCGGCCGCGCAAGCGGCCAGGCCGCTGAAGCAAGCAAAAGCGTCGGGCCGCTATAATAAGCAGGGCTGACACATAGCAGGCGACAGAAGCGGTCGGGCCGCTATAACCAGCAATTTTGACAAACCCATTGCGCACGCCAGACATAAGCATCAGGCAAAGCGGCCAGGCCGCTGTAGCAAACGGCAGAGGCACGATACGATGCAAGCTTACATGTTTGTATGGCGCCAGGACAGCGGCGATGCAATCGCGGCGAAAAGAGTTCCAGCTCCGATGCAAAGCTCACTTCGCAGTCGAGAGGAATTCGTGGCCATGGGGGGCGTGCGCGTGGCTCTTCTTGCACGCGTCCTTGCAGACCTTGACGGCCTGGAGGTTCGGGAATAAAAGTAAATAGATGCTATCCAATGCGCTCCCCTACTCTCCCCTGCGCTCCTCTCCGACCCCCTACATACGTGCGGTTCCTCCTCCTCCTGCCGCGCGTCCTCCCACCTTCTCCCCGTTCTCCTGCTGCTCCTCCTCCTTCTCCGCGAAGCCCCCCCCCCCGCCCCTCCCCCCCCCCCCCCCCCCGCGGGCCTCCTTCATGGTAGCCTGCTTCGTTGTCATGGTGCACGGGGAGCCCATGGGGCCCTGCGCGCCCGCAACGTCCATAAAGCGGATCAGGAAATTGCAACGCGTGGGCTCGTCGTACAAGCGCGGCAATTTCACGGCGGTTGTCGCGGGCTTCTTGGTTGGACTCGTCGGACCAGCGGTTGCAGGCTTCTTATTGGCGGTTTTTGTCGTCTTCGGGGGTGCAGCCGTTTTGTCATCTTGGCTCTTGGCCTCATCTTCTGCCTTGGCCCTTTTCCGCCCCCTCTTCTGGGCGTCGTAGGCCTTAGTAATTCTGTCGGCAGCTTCAGCTAATGACAACTTCGGCTTGGAGCCCGTCGCGGCGTCAACTGCGGGCGGTGCCTCAGCTGCTGCTTGCCCGTCTGCAGGCGGCGCCTCAGCTGCCGCTGCTGGTGGCGCGCCTGCTGCTGGCGCGAGTTCTGCTGCTGGTGCTGCTTCGCGCGCTGCTGGTGTTGCTGGCGCGCCTGCTGCTGGTGCTGCTGCGCGCGCTGCTGCTGGCGCGAGTGCTGCTGCTGCTGCTGCGCGCGGTGCTGGTGCTGCACTTGGCTCTGCGCGTGGCTGCGACTGCGGAAGTGACAGCTCGGGTGGTGCAACAAGTGCGGGGGTGGGCGCTGGTGGTGCAGCAATCGCTGCCGCGGCATCTTGGAGCGAGCTCGAGGTTGGCGGTGTCCCACTCGGATGCCCAAGCGCAAGCGCTGAGAAAAGGTTCGGGTTTGGCGGTGCCCCGCTCGGCTGCCAAGCGATCGTTTGCTGGGGCACCTGATGCAGCGCTCCTTGGATCTGCTGCTGCATCGGCAACAGCGATGGCATCATCGATGTCACCACTTGCGCGACCATCGCAGGAGACGCGCCCTGGCTTGGCAGCAGCGGCTGCTGATGGGAAGGCAAGGATGTTGGAGCCACCTGCGTCGAGGGAACCCACTGCGCCCCGCTGCTCGCCGGGGCGCCCATGACTGCAGCCCGACCTGCGCGATGGCGTATCTTGGTGGCCTTCTTGAGGACGTTCCATTGGGCGGGGTCGAGATCGAAGCGTTTCGGTGGCTGCAAAGTGTATACCCGCATGTACAGAGCGGGATGCTCGGTCTGAAGAATCACCGGCGCCGTCGGCAACTTCATGCTGAAAGGAACTGGGAGCGGCTTCTGAGCCGCCCTCTGTGCGAGCAGCGTGCCGACGGCCAACACCGACTCTGCCCTTGTGTCCTTATCGATATGAAGAGCGCCTTCAAGCCCTCTCCCTGCTTGCATGAGCAGGCAGGCCATCACGTGCCGCGTCGGCTCCGAAGTTTTGCGCAGCCCCAGGTCAATGAGAAAGTCGAACAGTATGTTCGGATCTCCTGACGGCAGGGAATCCCACACTGGCTGGGGCAGGAACTCGGTGAGCGCCTCCCACTCCTGGTAGTTCGCGATGGCCATGCAATGATCGCCATCGGCAGAAACCAGCTGCGAAATGGCGGTGTTGATGCTCGCCTTATCGGGCTCGAGAAGGCGTGACTCCGCGATCGCACCCAGAATCGGCTGAAGCCCCTCTGGGGGCAGCCTCGCCTTCTTGAGCTCCCGAATGAGCTGTCCCGACTGCGAGCGCGACACCGCGGCGAGCTGCAGCTGGTCGACGGTCGACTCCAGGATTGAACCGACTGCGGCGATGCGCCGCAGGATCCCTGCGGAGTCCATCCCGCGCGCGCCGCCGTCGCCGCGGCGACTGGCCGCGCTCGGCTGCGCGTTGGTGCGGCGCAACGCGGCGAAAGAGATTGCAAAGCGGTCAGGCCGCTGATGCGAGGGGCCGCTCCTGCTCCTGCTGCCCCTCCGCCTTCTCCTCCTCTTCGTCCTCCTCCACGCAAGCAACAGGCGGGCAGGCCGCAAGTCGATGTTACGCGCAAGGGTGCTACGCGCGGGCGAAGCGGTCAAATCGCTTTGCGCGTTGCCATCGCCCATCAGATATTGCGTAAGAAGGAATGACATAATTTTCAAAGCGGTCTGGCCGCTGTAGAATGGGGGCGGAGGGGGGGGGGGGGGGGGGGGGCAGGACTAATAATGATATGATATGCCAAGCGGTCTGGCCGCTGTAGAAAAGGGGGGGGGGGGGGGGGGGGGGGGGGGGGGGGGGGCAGGAGTACCTATAATATGATATGGCAGGCGGTCTGGCCGCAGAAGGGGGGTGAGAGCATGAACATTAAAAACATGATGCGCCAAGCGGTCTGACCGCTGTAGAAAGCGAGGAGGAACATGAGGAAACGAGGGGGAGATGTTGCCGATAGCGAGTGGATGAAGAGAGGGATCCCCCCCGCGGGCGCCTCGCTGCATGTTCAGAACTGCAGGTGGGCGAGCACCTCCTCGTCTCTCTTGGAAGCAGCGTTCTGTCGGCGGCGAACGCTTTTGTTTTGAACAAAATGAAAGAATAACAGAAAATACAACATAATGAGCAAATGCTGAACATATGGGAAAATAGTTAAACATAGCGAAGAATAATGAGAGTTAGTGGAATCACGAGTGAAAACATAGTGAACACATAGCGAAACTAGTGAAACATAGTTAAAGAGAGTGAGACATAATGGAAAATTCAAAAAATAGACAGCTTTAGGCTTCGCAACTATCGCTGATGATAGGAGCCTATAGCCCCTGTATGACGAAATAGTGTACCTAATCGTCATTAAAGCTAAAGACCACCCTAACCAATTCTAAATAGCATCCTAACCTATCCTAAACCCCCTGATGAACTCTAACATAAGATCACTATAACCATTTCTACTTACTGACTGCTTCGCGTTCATTTATGCTACCCCCGCGCCTCCCTCTTCCCCCCCCCCCCCCCCCCCCCCCCCCCCCTTCTCCATCTCATCACCCACGTGATTGTGGCGCTCTCCCGGCCTCTCGAAAATGTTCCCGGAATGCCTGCCGGGAACGCAATTTCTTTGCTAGCGTTCGAGTGATTCTTTTGTTCTTCGCCACCCTGCCTCTTCGATTTTCTTCCCATCCCAATCCTGCTGCGGCTGCTCAACGTGCTACGCCTGCACCTCCCCCTGTCCTTGTTCTACCTCCTCCTGCTCCCCTTGAACCTCCCTTCTTCCCGCTCCCCTTCTTCTCATCCTCGCTCTCCGTCCCTTCCGCCTACTCCTCGTGTCCTGCTCGTCCTGCCCCCCCTCCTTTTCCTGCCGCCCACCTTGTCCTGCGTGTCTGTCCCCCTCGTCCTTCTCATCCTCCTGCCCCCCCCCCCCCCTCCTCCGCCTCCCCCTCCTCCTTCCCCCCCCCTCCTCTGTCTCGAGATTTCTCCTCCTGCTCTAGCCCCCCTCCTCCTTCCTGCCCCCCCCCCTCCTTCTCGGGCCCCTCCTCCCCCTGCTGTCGCGAGATATGTTCTCGGGGAGCTTCCCGGGGATATAATTCCGCGCGCCTCCCTTTCTCCGCTTCGCCGACATTGTCATCCTTCTCGCCCCCCTCCTCCTCTCTCTCAGGCCCCCCCCCCTCCTATCGCGCAATATGTTCCCAGGAAGACTCCCGGGGCAATGGGTCCCGCGCCCTTGCTCATTTGCGCCTGATCCCTCCTGGGCGGCCCTTCCCCCCCCCCCCCACCCCCCCTTCCTCTCATCCCTTCTCTGGCTGTTCTTCTTCCTATTCTTGTCCTTCTCCCTCTTCTTCCTCCGCCTCCACCAGCTTCCCCATCGACTTCCCGCTCTCTCCCCCTTGCTTCTGCCGCGTGTCCTTCCTCGTCGCCCCGCGGGTCGCGGGGCCGAAGAGTCTCGGGGGCCGACGGGTCGCGGGGCCTGCGGTTCCCAAAGGTATCCGGACCGAGGGGGGCGCCCGGATCGGGGGGCGCCCCGGCCAGGGGGGGGGGGGGGGGGGGCAGCGGATATTGAGGCGGGGGGGGGGGGGGGTGAGGAGGGGGGGGAGGAGGAAAGGAGGGAAGGAGGAGGAAGAAGAACGTGTAGGAGGAGCAGAAGCACGCGGGGGGGAGGGGGGGGCGGTGGAGGAGAAGGAAGGAACTAAGGAAACGGAGGAAAGAGACAGACGAGGAAGGGGGGAGAAAGAGGACGAAGGAGGAGGCATAATATAATCAAGGAGGCGGAGAAGGAGGAGGAGGGGGGGGGGGAAGGACGGACATATATGAATATATATATATATATATATACATACTATATATATATATATACATAAGAAAAGGCCTGCCCTGATCATTCTGCCGGGGCCTTGCCGTGATCCCGGCTAGAACCAAAGCGCGCGCGAAGCGCGCCCGATGGTTCTAGTGTATGTATATATACGCCTACGTACATATGCGGCGTTAAAATATCCATGGGCCTGAGGGCGCTCCACCTTTCGTCTCGAGGCACGATGGCCGAGACGCAAGCGCATGCAGTTCTGGCAGGAGATCGACCAGGAGCTGCTGACTAGCTGGCTGGGGGATGTTAATCCGCTGGCCACCGCCCGTGAGCAGGGTCGCAAACGCGACGCAGACAGGGTCAGGCCTCGGCGATGGGGCCTTCCCCCGCCTGGGCCCCAGGCGTGGGAGGTGCGCCGCAAGGGCCTGGAGCGCGCCGCGAGAATCGGTAAGAACACCGCTCTTGAGCCTGACGGGTTGCCCTGCAGGGCGTGGCCTGAGTTGGGGGGCGTTGGGGTTGATGTACTCTGGGACGCTGCGCAGGACTTTCATGCTCCGGAGGCTTTGCAGCTGCTGCAGGAGGCGTACGAGGTCGACGACGAATTCAACGCTGGGGCGCTGGTCTGCCGGTCGAAGGCCCCCGCGGGGGCCGCGGGCGATGGGGGGCAGATTTATGGCGCGTTCGGCGCGCGCCCTCCTTCGATAGTAAATATTGAGAATCGGCTGATGCGTGGGGCGGCCCGGATGCGATGGGGCAAATAGTCGGCGCGTGGGTGTCCAACTGAAGAAAAGTTTCATCCGCGGGCGCTCCATGTTGAGCAACGTCCTCACCTTCGACCGTGTCGACATGAGGATCAGCCTGCAGTGTCCACGCGGTGCCGTGGCCCTGTTCGGTTGCGCAGCCGCCTTCCCCTCGGCCGGGCGCGAATTCATCTTGACTTCCTTCCGGTGGTTGGGCATGCCCGGCTGGCAATTGCATGTCGCTGTAGTCCTCTGCGATCGCACCGTTGCCGCCGTCCGGCTTGATGGCCAAGATGGCCGCCGCTTCCTTGGGGGCATTCGCTAGCGGCGCCCGCTCCCCCCCTGATTTTCGCGGCGGTGGTGGACGTGCTCTTCCGCAAGTTGTCGCGCGGATTGGGGCCGCCTGGAGCTGTTCGAGCCTTCGCTGATGACGCGGCGGCGGCGATGGCCGACCTCTTCGGGGCGCTGCCGCCCGTCGCTCGGCTGTTTCACGAGTGCGCGGGCATCGGGGCTGGGCTTGAATTGCGCGAAGACGGCGGCGATCCCTCTCTGCATCAGGGGGGGCGCCCACGCGGCGAGCTCAGGCTTCTCCTGCGGGCGCTGGGCCGGGGGCAGGTGCAGTTGCAAGGCGCTGCGAAATATTCGCGTAATCTGGCGGGCCCGGTCCGCGACGACTCGCCCTGTACCGAGGCGGTGGCCAAATGGCGTCAAGGGACGAAGGCGCGGCAGACAAGGCCCTTGGCTTGCAGTGCGCTGCCATGGCGTGCGACGTTTTCTGCTTTTTCCGCCCTCCTTCTTGGCGCGGCTGCGTCCGGTGCCAGAGGCGGTCGCCGGGCAGGGGGGGGGTGCTTCTGGGCATCGCCAAGGGCCTTAGAAACTGGGCTGCGGCCTTCGACCTTCGAGGCATGCGGGGCAGGCGCGGGGCTGGGCTCTCCCCCCACTGCCCGAACACATGGAAAAGCGGCGATGCTTCGCGCCTTGCACTTCGAAGCATGGGGCCACGCGCCTGCCGACGTGGCCGCGGATCTGCGCCGCGCACTCGACGCCGCCATTTTTTTTGGGGGTCATCCTCTGGCAGACCTGGCGCGGGCAGTCCTTCGCGAAGGGCGTCGCCAAGGCCACCCCGCGGGCGCGCCTCTGCGGAGGGGGCGGCATTGAGCGAGACCGCGCGATGCTGAAAGCCAACTTCCAAGGCGCGAGGCGGCCGATTTCAATTTGCCCCACTTCCTCGCAAGCTGAAGCGCTGTTCTCGGGGGGTCGCGGCGCGCTAGTCCGTCGACAGCAGGAGAGTCTGGGGCGGTTTGGGCGCCTGGTTGCGCCGCGGGTGGTCGCGGCAACATGGGGCTTGGCATTGAACAGGCGGTGCACGGCGCGCCTTTGTCAGGGCGCGCGGGCGCGCGGGCTGGGCGGCGGCGCTGGCGCCGACAGTGCGGGGCGTCGCGCGGGGTGCAGGGTGGGTCGCGCTGTGAGTGGCCGCTGCTCGTGGCCCCGCGGACGTTTCCGTTGCCTCCTCGACGTCGCGCGCTACGCGGCGACGCCGAGCGCGCTTGCTGGGCCGCCCCTGCTTGTGCGACGCACGCGGTCTCGAGGCGATGGCGCAACCTCCCGGCGCCGCCGACAGTCAGTTTAGCGCGCGCCGCCAGCTCCAGTCAACCAGCCCGCGCGAGCCCGCCGCCCGCGGGTTTCGGGCGTGGCGTAGCCGCGGTCTTCAGCATTGCCGCGGGCGTTATTTCGTTCATTTTTCCTCTTCTTCCCGGACGCCCCGGTCGATGCCTTTTTTTCCTCGCGCGCATGTGTGTGTATATATATATATATATCATATCGTTGGATGCGCATGTGGGCATGTGTGCGCATGCATGCATGCGGGCAGGTAGGTGCGCTTGCGTGTGTTTACAAGTATGTTGGCCGGCGTGGGTCCCAACATGGTGTTTCTAGCAATGCATGTCGTGCTATCCACGTGGGGCTACTTATGCGGTGCAATGTTTGTGGCGCAATACATGTGGTGCAGTTTTATGTTGTTGAATATTCGTGGGCGAGTCACTTGGCATTAAATTCATTGTTCTCCCCGGTGCTGAGTTTGATATAGATGCGCTGCGTTGTGCATCCAGGTCTTCCCAGAAACATCCTTTGGAGCTTATGGTGATTGTATGTCTGTCTGTTCCTCATGCTGTCGCAACTATCGCGACGACAACGACGACCGAGGGAAGCAATGAGCACCGCGTCCACGACGGCGCCCCTCCGCCCATCTCAGCGCACCCATGCGCAGATTGCGCGCCAGAAGGACGCAGTTGCACGCGCGCCTCTGTGGGGGGATTCGCATAACATCACCCCCCCCCAAGGGGATTGGGCATCTCGCGTGGATCGCGCCCCGGCGGGAGCTCCACCGACAGCCCGAAAGCCAACGCGCGCGCCGCCCCCCCGCCCATGGCGGTAGCCAGCCAGCCACGGGCGAGGAGGAGGAGGAGGTCGCCGCCCTGGTGGTGGACAACTGAAGCGGCATGTGCAAAGCCGGCTTCGCGGGCGACGACGCTTTGCGCGCGGCGTTCCCCTCGATCGCCGAGCGCCCCAAGATGCCGGGCATCGCGGTCGGGGGGGGCCGGAAGGGCGGCTACGCGGGCGGCGAGGCGCAGAGCAAGCGCGGCGTGCTGACGCAAAAGTGCCCCATCGAGCACGGCATCGCGACGAATTGGGGCGACATGGAGAAGATTTGTCACCGCGCGTTCTACAAAGAGTTCCGCGCGGCCCTGGATGGGCACCCCGCGCTCCTCACCGAGGCGGCCCTGAACCCCGAGGCGAATCGCGCGCGCGTGACCCAGATCGTGTTCGAGGCTTCCAACGTACCCGCAATGCACGTGGCCATCCAGGCAGTTCTCTCGCTGTGTGCCCCCAGCCGTGCCACTGGCATCGCGATGGATTATGGCGAATATGTGTCGCACGCGGTGCCCATCTACGAGGGCTGCGCCTTGCCGCGCGCCATCTTGCGCCTCGACCTGGCCGTCCGCGATTTCACGGAGTACCTGATGAAGATCCTTTTCTCGCGCGGCAGTTTTTTCGCGACCGCGTCTGGGCGCGAGATCGCGCGCGACGTCGCGGAGAAGCTCTGCTACATTGCCTTCGACGTCGACGCGGAGATGAAGGTTGCCACCGGAGTTTCGGGCGAGGGGGAGACGCGCGAGCTTCCGGGCGGCAGCGTCATCACCGTGGGCAGCGAGCGCTCCCGCTGCCCCGAGGTGCTATTCCAGAGCAGCTTCGTCGGCAAGGAAGCCGGCGGCATCCACGGCGCCACCTTCCAGTCCATCGTGAAGTGCGACGTCGACATCCGCAAGGACCTCTACGCCAACGTGGCGCTGTCCAGCGGCGCCACCATGTCCCCCGGGATCGGGGGGCGAATGATCAAGGAGCTGTCCGCCCCGGCGCCATCCACGATGAAGATCAAGGTCGCGGCCGCCCCCGCGCGCAAGCATTCGTGGATCGGCGGGCCCATTTGTTCAGCAGAAGTTATCTTCGAAGGGCGAGCGCGGCGAGCCTGGCCCCGCCATCGTTCACAGGAAGTGTTTCTGAGGGGCTCCTTCCTTCCTCCCCCGCTGCCCCCCCTCCCTCCGCCTCCTCCTGTTCCTCCTGCGTCGAGCCCTCCCCCCCCCCCTGCGGGTTCTGCCGAAGTCTGGAATTCAGCGGCGCGTGCTTCTCGATGTCGCAGTCTGCAGCCTGCTCTGCGCTCGTGTTCGCGCGCCCCTTCTCTCCTCGGCCTTGGGTCAGCAGGCGCTTCAGGGTCCGAGGCCTTGCCGCCGCGCCTCCCTCTGGCCTCCGATGGTCCGCCAGGGGCCAGGCTCTGCGGTTGCATGGCCCTGCTGTGCCCCCCTCTGGCCCCCGCTGCTCCGCCAGGGCTTGGGCGCTGCAGGCGTGGGCCTGCCTCTGCGATGAAGCGTCGCGCAGGCGGCCTTGTTTTGTTGCCCTCTGCTGGGCCCCTCTGGTCTCCGATGGTCCGCCAGAGTTTGGGCCCCGCTGGAATGGGGCGCACTTGTGTCCTTCCAAGCTTATTCCGCTGCTGGCCTCGACTTGGTCTCGATGAAGAGCCCCTTCGGCGCTCTGTTGTTGGGCGGCGCTTGTGTCCAGCAGGCAGGCCCCGAGGAGGGCCGGTGCACTGCGTTCCCATGTCCTCTCATCCTCGCCTCCCCCCTCGCAGCGAAGCTTGTGCAACTTGAGCAGGCAGCGCACTTTAGTGGAACTTTTGATTAGCTGGCTGGCGCCACTGTGCGCAGTAGACGCTCGGCCATCGCTGGGTGTTTGATGGGCTTGACGGCAGCGGCTCGCGTTTAAGAGGCCCCGCGTTGTTGCGCTTTCGGTGCCGGAAAACAATTAGTTATGGCGCAAGCCAGGAGAAAGCAATGCAGAGGCACGCGAAGAAATGCAATGCAACGCAAAGCAAGGTAAAGGAACGCACAGCAGCGCAACGCAAGGCAACGCAATGCAAAGCAATGCAGAGCAGTGGGAAACAAAGCAACGCAAAACAATGCAATGCAACGCAATGCTAAGCAATGTTAGGCAACGCAGCGCAACCAAACACAATGCAACGAAATGCCAATGCAACGCGGCCCAACGTAATGCAAAGCAATGAACAATGCTAAGCATACCAATATCGGGAAATGCAGAGCAATTCAAGGCAAATCAAGGCCATGCAACGCAATGCAATGCAACGCAATGCAATGCAACGCAATGCGATTGCAATGCGATTGCAGGTTGATTGCGCTGCATTGCCATGCACAGCAGTGTAAAGCAGTACAAAACAGAGCAATCCGAAGCAACGCAGCTTGGAGGGTGCTGGGTTGCAACGGGAAGGCCTCGACGGGTGGCGACGGGCGGCGACGAGCCGCCCAGACCGGCACTGCGGCCCAGCTGTGGCGGCGGCGACGCGCCGCGACGAGCTGGCCAGACCGACGCCAGAGCCCAGTTACTTTCGATCAGAAGTAACCTTTCGATTTGCAGTGTTCAAAACAGAGAAATCTCATGGGCCTGAGGGCGCCCCACTTCTCGCCTCGAGGCACGATGGCCGAGACATACATACATAGATCTCTGGCAGGGGATCGACTGGGAGCTGCTGACTAGCTGGCTGGCGGACGTTGGTCCGCTGGCCACCGCCCGTGAGCAGGATTGCAAACGCGATGCAGACGGGGACAGGCCTTGGCGATGGGGCCTTCCCCCGCCTGGGCCCCAGGCGTGGGAGGTGCGCCGCTTGGGCCTTGCGCGCGCCGTGAAAATCAGTAAGAACACCGCTCTTGAGCCTGACGGGTTGCCCTGCAGGGCGCGGCCTGAGTTGGGAGACGTTCGGGTTGATGTACTCTGGGACGCCACGCATGACTTTCAGGCTCCGGAGGCTTCGCAGCTGCTGCAGGAGGCGTGCGAGGGCGACTGCGAATTCAACGCTGGGGCGCTGGTCTGCCGGTCGAAGACCCCCGTGGGGGCCGCGGACGATGGGGCAGATTTATGACGCGCCCGGCACGCGCCCTTCCTCGATCGTAAATATTGATAATCGGCAGATGCGTAGGGCGGCCCGGATACGATGGAACAAATAGTCAACGCGTGGGCGTCCAACTGCAGGAAAGCTTCATCCGCGGGTGCTCCGTGTTGAGCAAGGTCCTCACTTTCGACCTTGTTGCGTGTTGCATGAAGATCAGCCTGTAGTGTCCACATGGTGCCGTGGTCCTGTTCGATTACGCAGCCGCCTTCCCCTCGGTCGAGCGCGAATTCCTCCTGACTTCCTTGCGGTGGTTGGGCATGCCCGGCCGGCAGTTGCAAGTCGCTGTAGTCCTCTGCGATCGCGCCGTCGCCGCCGTCCGGCTTGATTTGATGGCCGCCGCTTCCTTGGGGGCATTCGCCAGCGGCGCCCGCCCCCCCTTTGATTTTCGCGGTGGTGGTGGACGTGCTCTTCCGCAAGTTGTCGCGCGGATTGGGGCCGCCGGGAGCTGTTCGAGTCTTCGCTGAGGACGCGGCGGCGGCGATGGCCGACCTCTTCGCAGCGCTGCCGCCCGTCGCTCGGCTGTTTCACGAGTGCGCTGGCATCTCTGGGCTGGGCCTGAGCTGCGCGGAGACGGCGGCGATCCCTCTCTGCGTCGGGAGGGGCGCCCATGCGGCGAGCTCGGGCCTCTCCTGCGGGCGCTGGGCCGGGGGCATGTGCAGTTGCAAGGCGCTGCCAAATATTCGCGTAATCTGGCGGGCCCGGCCCGCGACGACTCGCCCTGGACCGAGGCGGTGGCCAAATGGCGTCAGAGGACGAAGGCGCGGCAGACAAAGCCCTTGGCTTGCAGTGCGCTGCCATGGCGTGCGACGTTTTCTGTTTTTTTTGCCGCCCTCCTTCATGGCGCGGCTGCATCCGGTGCTAGAGGCGGTCGCCGTGCAGGGGGGGGGGTGTTCTGGGCATCGCCAAGGGCCCCGGAAACTGGGCTGTGGCCCTCGACCTTCGAGGCATGCGGGGCAGGCGCGGGGCTGGGCTCTCCTCCCACTGCCTGCGAGCACATGGACAAGCTTTTGCTTCGCGCCTTGCACTTCGAAGCATGGGGCGACGCGCCTGCCGACGTGGCCGAGGATCTGCGCCGCGCACTCGACGCCGCCACTTTTGGGGGTGGTTCATCTTCTGGCAGACATGGCACGGGCAGTCCTTCGCAGAGGGTCTGGTGCAGAGCGGGGAACGCCCGGCTGCGAAGGGCATCGCCAAGGCCGCCCCGCGGGCGCGCCTCTGCGGAGGGGGCGGCATTGAGCGAGACCGCGCGATGCTGAAAGCCAACTTCCAGCGCGAGGCGGCCGAGTTCAACCTGCCCCACTTCCTCGCAAGCTGAAGCGCTGTTCTCGGGGGGTCGCGGCGCGCTTGTCCGTCGACAGCAGGAGGGTTTGGAGCGGTTCGGGGGCCCGGTTGCGCCGAGGGTGGCCGCGGCAACATGAGGCCCGGCATTGAACAGGCGGTGCACGGCGCGCCGTTGTCAGGGCGCGCGGGCGCGCGGGCTGGGTAGCGGAACTGGCGCCGACAGTGCGGGGCGCCGCGTGGGGTGCAGGGCGGGTTGCGCTGTGAGTGGCCGGTGCTCGTGGCCCCGCGGAGCGTGCGATCGCCGTTTCCGCTGCCTCCTCGGCGTCGCGCGCTACGCGACGACGCCGAGCTCGCTTGCTGGGCCGCCCCTGCTTGTGCGACGCACGTGGTCTCGAGGCGATGGCGCAACCCGCCGGCGCCGCCGACAGTCAGTTTAGCGCGCGCCGCCAGCTCCAGTCAACCAGCCCGCGCGAGCCCGCCGCCCGCGGGTGTCAGGTGTGGCGTGGCCGCGGTCCCCAGCATTGCCGCGGGCGTTATTTATTTGATTTGTCCTGTTCCTCTCGGACACCCCGATCGATGCGTTTTTTTCTCGCGCGCCCATGTGTGTATCTATACATCTCGTCGTATGCTCATGCGTGCATGCGCGCGCATGCGTGCATGTGGACAGGTAGGTGCGTTTGTATGTGTTTACAAGTATGTTGGCCGGCGTGGGTCCCAACAAGGTGTTTCTAGCAACGCGTGTCGTGCAATCTGCGTGGGGCTACCTATGCGGTGCAATGCTTGTGGCGCAATACATGTGGTGCAATGTTATGTTGTTGCATATTCGTGGGCGAGCCATGTGGCATTCAATTCATTGTTTTCCCATGTGTTGATTTTGATATAGCTGCGCTGCGTTGTGCATCCAGCTCGTCCCAGAAACATCCTTTCGAGCTTATGGTGATTGTGTGTCTGTCTGTTCCTCATGCTGTCGTGACTATCGCGACGACGACGACGACCGAGGGAAGCAATGAACCCCGCGGCCACGACGGCGTCCCTCCGCCCATCTCAACGCACCCATCACACGGGTTGTGCGCCAGAAGGACGCAGTTGCACGCGCGCCTCTGTGGGAGGATTCGCATAACATCACGCCCCCCCAGGGCGACTGGGTTTCTCACGTGGGTCGCGCCCCAGCGGGAGCTCCACCGGCAGTCCGAAAGCCATCGTGCGTGTGCCTCCCGCCCATGGCGGTGCACCTCTGACCTCGACCGTGAGTTCGGGGTGCTTTGGTTATTTCCTGACGCCCCGCAGCATATTTCAGTGGAGCCTCGGGAAGCCCTGACATGTATCTTGCAGGACGTAGACACGAGACCTGCTATACGCCCATGGGGGCCTACTGGAACGCGTCCTGGGAGCCCTCTGGAAGCATTGGGGGAGTCTCTGAGGCCTCTCCGGGCCTTCCTTGGGAGTCCTTTAGGGACTTTTTTAGCCCGCCTGGGGACTTATTTCGGCGTCTCGGCCGTCCTGGGTCCCTCTTGGCCCGTCATGGGGAGCTGAGCCCGTCTAGGGGCCCTCTCTGACCATGTGGGGATCCTCCAGTGGCCCCCTCGGGCCCCCTGGGGATTCTTTTGGGCAGTCTTGGAGCTCTCTTGTGCTGCTTTCTCGGGGCCTTTTTGGGGGCCTCTTGGGCCGTCTGGGGTTCATTCTGGTAGTCTTTGGGGCCGGCGCGGCCGCTGTTAGAACTGAAAAGTGCATTCTCGACTCCTTTGGCAAACCCACGGATCCGACGCGCCGAGCGCGTATGCCAGCTTTCGGAAGATGAGTTTCGAGGCGCCGAGATCCTTGGGGAGGGCGATGCGGAGGGTGTTGACGGACGGGTCGCTCATACCCATCGCCTGGATGAACTCGAAATGCACAAAGATCTCCTGCCCCGCCCACTCGCGGAAGAGCGTGTCCCGGATTGTCGTCTGGTGGGTGGGCAACGCTGAGTCCTGCGACGTCCTGCGTAACCCGAGTGTCCTGCGAGAGGTCGGTGTCCATCTCCTGCGCCGCAGCCGAACCTGTGACCTGGGAGCCCTCCATCGCTTCCTCTCTCTCGAGGTGGTTGTTGGTGGAGTCCATGGTGTTCTCGACGAGCTCAGTCCCAGCTACGTTGCCCCTTGGAACGCAGGGACCTGTGAGGGTGTGCGCCTCGCCGAGCTGGCGCTAGGGACTATGGCGCGCGGGCCGCGCGCGCGGGGATGAGCCGGGGTGGCACTTGAGCCGGGGCGGCTATGCTTGAGCCCGGTTTGAGGGCCCCGTCCCCTCGGAGCAGCTGATCGCGGCACGCCTGCGCACGCCGCCTTCTGCGACCTGACGGGCAAGGCGGTCTTGGACGAGGAGGGCCGCGCCAGCATCCGCGAGCTCGCTGGCGAGCTCCGCGGCGCCGCTCTCGCTTGTGAGAAGGAGCTCCTAGGGATTTTGGCGGAGCGCAGGCGGATAAAGCCTGTCAAGCTTCCGCTATGGAAGGAGCTCGGCGCGGCCGCGCGCTCTCTCCCCAGCTGCCCCGGTGCCCCGGGCTGCCAGGTGACCCTCCTCACCCAGTGGTCTTCCATCCTCCCGGATTGCGGCGACAGCGTGAACTTCGTAGACGCCTCCCGCCGGGTCTCAGAGCTCGGCCATTTTGGCTCAAGCTGTTTGGCTCAAGGTTTGGCTCCGGTTTGGCTCATTCATTACCACAAGCCATTCCGGTACCGCAACTGTTCCTTGAGCCTTTGGGGATCGGTTATTGGGTTCAATCAGTGGGATATCGCCTCAATTTGGTGAATTCGTGAATCTTACTGGGTTTTGTCAATTCAGCGCTTCACTTCTATCTCAAATTTTGGGAAACTGGCTCTTGCTTCATCCTTTTGGCCATGCCGGCATTGCAGATTGGAGAAACCATGCAAAAGCTCTTATCATTGGACATCGATAAGCAGAAAAGACTGAGGGGCGAAGCTCGGATGGTAGACGACGACAAAGAAAATCAGCAAGAAGCCTCGAAAGCTATGAGAACCTTGGCGGCCAAGGGAGCTGCTAAGGGTACTGGTTTGGGAGAAAATGGTTCGATTCCATCGGGGGCTGCCTCGACCGCCACCGGTGCCGACGGGTTTCTTGCCCAACTCGAGTCTCTCCTAGACAAAAAGATCGCTCCTATCAAAGATCGTATTGATTCGTTACAATTCGATGTGTTGGGAACTCAAAAGGCGATGGCTCAGGAATTTTCAGTGGCCGTCACTCTGATCAATGACCATGAAGTAAAGCTTGCCAACCTTGAAGCGGGTGAAACCGAGGTGCAGAAAGCCTTCAACGAAAGGATTCTTGCCGTTGAGCTGGAGCAGAAGTCTCTGCGCGCGGAAATGGCAGCCAAACAGTTAGAAAGTCAGTCGAGCCAGGGTCCGTCGAGGAAAAAGGGTCCGCCGTGGGCTAGCACCCCAAGGGCAGATAGGGACATCTTCATTCTCACCAACCTGGGCTGGAATCTCAAGAAGCAGGAGGCCCTGGAGAAGGCACGGGCTGTCCTTCGCCGGGCGGATGTCCCCCAGCCCACGCATATTGTTGCACCATTTGGGTATGGGAGTTGTGTGGAGATAAAATGGAGTTCGATTGCAGTGGGACTTCAAGCGGCAGCTGCGATTCGTGATCTTAAGATCCCTGGGCACTTGGAACATACGATCTGGTGTGGCCAGATTAGTACGAAGGAGGAGCGTGGCCCAGCAAAATTGTTCAAGACCGTATCAGAAGCCCTGGAAAGGGCAATGGGAGATCGCACGGACAGTTACGTGGTTTGCTCTCGGACTCGAAAATTTTTCGTCTTGGACCGTCAGATAGGTGCTATCAAAGATGGGGAATTTCAGTGGCACGAGTCACTCAAGGAGATTCCCGACGA